TGTGAGCATTATTTTTCACCATATAACTTTTGCTGTTCAACTCACCCACAATGCTGAGAGCCGTGGGCTGGAGGGCGTGACCCTCTCTCTTGCATGTGGAATGTGTGTGGGTTGCGTGCTCTTGCAGGTCCCCCTCCAGGCGAGTGCAGAGGCAGTGTGAAGACGCTCTGTGTGACCAGGTGGGACGTGCGGCCCTCCCAGGGCTGGGGTCGGAGTGCAGGCCCTGCCTCGCCTCCTGAGGCCTGCGCTGTAGTTGAGTGCAGGGCTTTTGAGTTTCTTGAAGCTAAATTGACAGAAAAGTAGACACTTGAGATTTTGTTGACTGAGGTTTTCAGCAAGTGGAGACTGGAGAGTGATAGAGCGTCAGGGAAAAGGAATCTTCAGAGAGGTGGCAAAACCTGCTGCGGTGCGAAGTCTAAGTTTTTCTTTGTCTCTGGCAATCCATGTGGACCATTTCTGGATCGCAGTTGGCTCTGGTGTCCCGGGAAACCAGTGACTTAGTCTCTTCCTGCTCTTCTCAGATCTGGCTCTGGGCCAGAGGTGTGTGCTGGCGACTTAGGGCCCCGCTGGCCACGAGCTTCTTGGAGCAGCCAAGGAAGAGCTGAGTCTCTGTGCTTTTTTTTTTTTTTTTTTTTTTTTTTTGAGATAGAGTCTCACTCTTTTTGCCCAGACTGGAGTACAGTGGCGTGATCTCTGCTCACTGCAACCTCCGCCTTCTGGGTTCAAACAATTCTGCCTCAGCCTCCCGAGTAGCTAGGATTACAGGCATGCGCCACCATGTCTGGCTAATTTTTGTATTTTTAGTAGAGACGGGGCTTCACCATGTTGGCCAGGCTCTGTGCTCTTCTTCTTAACACCAGGTTATTTCCCTGAAACCAGGGTCCTGTGGTGGCTCAGCCAGACACTGATTCCCCCTCCCAGTGAGGGAGCCCAGGCCTCTGCCACAGGGGTGTGAACGGAGGGGCTCCGTGTTGGGAGAGGTACCTGATGGTGCTGCTTGCCGTGGAGGTCTCAGCTTTCCGTTCTGTGTTGTGTTATTACTTCAGGCTCCGTCAGGGACCTACAGGTGTGTCTTATAATGACTGTTAAACTAAATTTTAATTTACTTTTAAGTTTTATGGGTAATGTACAGGTACGTTTCCTAGCATGTCTAATGGGCGTGGTTACCACAAGTTTGCCAGCACACCCACATACACTGTGGGTTTCTTTCATTTTTCTCTCTAATATTGTCAACCTGAAATGAGCCACGGGCACGGACTCTCCACAGTGAAGTTGCTTTGGGGCTAGCAGGGTGTTGTAGCCTGGGCTGTGTGTGCAGGGTCAGACTGTAGGTGCCTCCGGGGGCTTGGAGCAGAGGAGAGATTTTAAAACCAAAAAGCAGACATTTACGTAAGCTGTCTAGAAACAAAGACCCTTGGGGACAGAGGCTTGTTGCGGGGGTTGGGGGAGCACAGCAAGTCGGCTTGTTGTCAGGCAGGTGTCCCTGATCTGGAGTGCTGTGGTTTGGAGAGACTCCTGCCTTGTTACCGTCCTAGGCACTCGTGTGGGAGGGCCCCTCCTTCATGGCTATGCAAATTAACCTGCTCTAGTCACTTTTGTTTGTTTGTTTGTTTTTTATTTTATTGTTTTTGAGGCGGAGTCTGGCTTTCACCCAGGCTGGAATACAGTGGCGCGATCTCGGCTCACTGCAAGCTCCGCCTCCCGGGTTCACGCCATTCTCCTGCCTCAGCCTCCCAAGTAGCTGGGACTACAGGTGTCCGCCACCTCGCCCGGCTAATTTTTTGTATTTTTAGTAGAGACGGGGTTTCACTGTGTTAGCCCGGGTGGTCTTGATCTCCTGACCTCGTGATCCGCCTGCCTCGGCCTCTCAAGTGCTGGGATTATAGGCGTGAGCCACCGCGCCCGGCCTCTAGTCACTTTTTAACTTGCCCCGGCTGCCTTCCCAGGTCCGCACACACTGGCTGGCCTCCTCCTATCCTGTTGCTCCCCTGCCTCACGCAGGATCTGCCGGGTTCTGCTGAGGTAGCTTCCATTTGCAGGAGCACCTGGGTGTGTCTGATGATGTTTTGCTGTTTTTGCAGCGCTGCCCCAGACAGCCTTGTGTGTGTCGGTTTGCTCACCGCAGCTGCTCCTTCCTGTGTCCTGTGCACACGCATGCTGCTCCCGGTTCACTTGCTGACCCAGATGCTTGTCAGCTGAGTCCTGTTATGTGGTGGAAGTAGAGACAGGGCTTCACCATGTTGGCCAGGCTCTGTGCTCTTCTTCTTAACACCAGGTTATTTCCCTGAAACCAGGGTCCTGTGGTGGTCAGGCTTCCCAGACTCCACCGTGGTTTTTGGAGACTCCTGGTGCCTGGAGTACAGCGGGTGCTCCCTGGCGGCCACGCTGTCCTCTGGGCAGGACTGAGAGTATAGTTTGGGAAGCACCTTAACCCATAACCACATCGAACGCTAAAACAAAGAGATTCGAAACTGAGTTATTTTGTGGCCTTGGTGTATCTCTTCCTGCTGTGCTTCACTGGATGGATCTGTGTTTTGGGCCCTGGGGCTCTGGGCTTCCCACCAGATGTCTTTTTAAATGGCCACCTTTAATGGCCTTTTTAAATGGCCTTTTAGGTCGGTTTACTCTCTTGGAAGAAAAATTTGCATAAGTCATTACATAAAGAGTTACTTGAAAAAACTTTCCACACTGTGTGCAAATTTGAGACGAAATAAAGTGCATGCGAGAAGTTCGGATGTGCTTGGAAGGTTTAACTTTTCATCCAGGTTTTCCTCCCCAAGAGGACACACACAGGCGCAGAGAGCTGGCCCCTGAGTGCCCGCTGTCTCTGCTGAAGATAATGGAGCCATTTCTGGCAGTTTGTCCTCATTATCAAAATCAGCCTGCGGAGTTTTCCGAGTTCGCATTTACGGAGGAGCAGAGTGGAACTGCACTTGCCGCTCTGCTGTCTCATCTTTCAGGCTGTTCTGGGAGGAGGTGGGCAGGGGGTTGCTGCACGGAGCTCTGAAATGGACTGTAAGAGGCACTCAGAGAATCTGGGGAGAGGCCCCGGCTTTGAGGACAGCTGGGTCCCCGCAGAACCCTCATCTGCGTTTTGCTTTTAGTGAGATGATATTTCCTGGGGAAGCAGAGCTTGCTAGATTATTTGCTAACTCCCTCCGAGTGCGTGAGCTCATTTATAGAAGGGCAGATTCCTCTGACCAGAGTCTTTGCGCTCCTTGGAGCCACGTTACTGTGGCTGGTTACAGAGGAGCTGGGCGGGCCAAGTGGGCACTGCCCAGGAGGTGGTTGGACTGGGAGCTGTGCCCGCCGGGCTGGGCAGTTGGATCCTCTGAGGGTTGAGGGCTCCCTCTGGCCTTGCCCCCACTGCCTTCCACCCACCCACAGGCCCTTAGCAGAGTCTCCACCAGATCCCGCAGATAGGGAAGCACCTCCTTGGATGGGTTCTGAGAGCTGCTGGGAGAGGCACGCGGCGGGGATTGGCTCGATGGTCGCGCAGCTCTGGTGTTAGGGCGGTGCTTTCTGGATTTGTTTCTCCTTGGTCAACAGCGTTTTCTTTGTTTTTGTTTTGTTGGGATTCAGAGCGGAACAGGAAGTGACTGGGCAGTCTCTATCCAGAGCGCCCAGCGTTTGACGTCACAGGCCTCTGTGCTGTGTGCTTGGTCCGTAGGTCCCGTGGGTGCCGGCCCGTGCTGTGAGCTGCAAGAATTCAGGATTCCAGGACATACAGGAGATTTGTTTGCCCAACCTTCATGGCAGCAGAGGCCACAGGAGAGGGAGGGAAGGCGAGCTGCTGGGCCCAAGATGTGGGCCACATGGGGGTGACAGGAGGTGGGACAGGGCCATGGGGGAGCCTGATTTCTCCGGAGGTCTGGGTTATCCTGGAAGTCCAGTGGGGAGTGGTGGTGTCTGCTGCAGTGGAGAGTCCTGTCACCGTGAAGGAGGCTGTCATGAGCCAGGCGGGGACAGGACATGGGCTGGAGTCTGGGCTGTGGGCCTCAGGGAAGCCAGGCAGATGACTCAGTGCACGGGGCTCCCACCCTGGCCTCTGAGTGGGCAGAGGTGGCCTCGTCAGGATGGGCTTAGGGTCTGGCTTGGTGGTATCATGGCAGGCAAAGGCAGGTGGCGGTGTATGTGAAATACCATAAGAAGCCTGGTGGGTTTCAGAGACTCCAATGATGCTGGTGCTTCCTCCTGCTGAGGTGCAGGGGCTGAGTGCTCTGGGGCTGCTGGGCCATGAGGTGTCCATGTGGCCTGGGGAGGGGTTGCAGAAGCAGCACAAATGCCAGCTAGGGTGAGGTGGGGCTGGGCAGGTACAGGTGGCCCTGAGATGAGGCTGCTGGCTCTGTGGGCAGCCCCTGGATGCTTGGGAGGCAGCCATGGCCTCATAAAGGGCAAAGGCTGTTCTCAGTCCCTGGCTCCAGGGGGACCACATGAAGGGCTGGCCTTGCCTCCCCAGGTGGGCCTCCCAGTGTTACCGGGCCCGCATGGAGAATCCTCAGCAGGACCTGGACGACAGCTTGTGCTTAGTGGGCGTTTGCGAGGCTGCGAGCCAGGTTGGCAGCTCCTGCTCAGGAGCTTCTCAGTTAACAAGACAGCCTGAGTCAGGGAGCTGCAAGACCAGGGCAGCCTCAGACCCCAGCTCTTCTGGGCAGGGAAGATGCAAAGATGACAGGTGAGGAGAAGCGCGTTAGGGAGCACCAGGCACTCCGTGCTGTGAGACCTCCTGGCCTCGGAAGAACAAGGGATGCATACCACGAGGACGAGGCCGGCTGCACCCCCTCTCCTGGCTGCTGGTGCATGCCAAGGCTCTAGACAGACAGCGACACTTTTGGGTGGCACTGTCGCTGCTGTTGATCCTGAGCAGTAACCAGCGGCCGCCCCGTTACAGACAAGGTGGTAAGGCCTGTGGAGACCTGACTGCCTGGGGGTCCAGGGGCCCACCGCCCCCCACACAGGCTGACACATTCCCTCTCTTACCCCACTGTGCTTTCTCCTAGGCCTGCCAGCGCCAGCACCTCGAGGTCTCGCTGCCCCGCAGGACTCGCCTGTGGGACCAGGGGTAAGTCCAGGCCCCCCACGGCCTCCTTCAGAATTCCAGAGTCAATTACTTGCAAGAAAACCCTCTGTCTCCGCTTAAGTACAGTTGCTCCCTGCGTGCTTCTGTGTGGCTGGGGAGGATTGCTGGCGGCGGCGGGGTGTCCCCTCCTGCCCTGTCTGTGCAGCCTGTCCCTGATGTTCTGACTCCCAGTGCGGGCTTTTAGTGGGGCTGCTGCTCGCAACCCCTATGTTGCTGTATAGGGCATCTCCACATCTCCCTGGCAGTTACATCTCATGGTGGTAGCTCTTTCAGGACTGGATGGCCTTCGCTTTTTCTGAGAGACACCGAGGTGTGGTCCTCACCCTCTTTGCTCTCCCGGACTAACTCCACCAGGAGCGGTGCCTGGCAGCTATTGGTGTCCAGGGCACCCGCCAGGCACAAATGCTGGTGGAGACTGGCACTGCTCTGAGAACCACGAGCTGCTGGCAGCTGCATGTCCGACGGCGCAGATCCCTGTGGCGCTGGAACTTCCTGGGTGGGAGGAGAGGCTCCTTCCTGCTGGGCCGTTGCCCGCCGGCGGTCTGAGCTGAGCTCCTGCTTGGCTGCCATTCTGGAGTCCTGAGACACCCGTGGCGCTCACCTGTGGCTCCAGGCTGGCCTTGGCTGTGTGAGTTCGAGTGAGGTCAGATGTGGCTTGTTCCTGCTGATGACTTTGTCTGCCAGCATCACCCTCAGAATTGACTTTCTAGAAAAGTTGACTAATTCAGTATCCAAGGCTGTCTCCAGGAAGCAGCTTTAGTGTGTCATCTGCAGTGGGAAACCGGATCACGAATGAAAAATACTGGATTCACCTAAAGGCACGAGTCTGTGGACGGCCTCCTGGGCTTCCCTGCTGGCCCAACCTGGCATTTTCCCTGGAGCAGTTTCTCTGTGACCCTGAGTGGTCACAATACCTTGTGGGGTCTGAGGGAAGCTGAGCCGGCCCCAAAGATCTCCTCTGCTCCCTGAAGATGCTGCTAGGGTCCCCTGGGGATGCTTCATGCACCCCACCCCCCATTCGTTCCTCAGTGCCTCTTCATACATTGGGGCCTCTCTGCCAGCACCTGGTGTGGGCCAGCCATCATTGCTGACAGTGAATGTCTCGGATGCTGGCTGTGTGTACTGGAGTTAGAGTCCAGGTTTGAGATCCGTGTCTTCAGTAGTGCCTGGGCACCCAGCCCTCGGCATCAAGGTGGTCATTGCCTTAACAGGGAGGTTTGTTCGATAGGAGTGCAGGTGGCTAGAATCAGCAGGGCCTTGGAGGTGCTCAGTCCAGTGCTGGCAAGGGACAGAGAGGCACAGGCCAGGCTGCCCCTGTAGCTGGAGATGCTTTCTCCTTTCTTGCTTGTTTTCCTTGTTAATAATATTCTTATTCAAATATTATGATCTGGGGTAGATCATGGAATCACCTCTCTGTTGTTAAATAAAGGAACTTGAGAAGTGGTGCCAGGTTCCAGAGCTGCCCTGGCCGGGAGGCTGCAGCCATCACTCCCTTCCGTGGCTGGATCCAGGGCTGCCCCATTCCCCGGTGTGGCTAGTGCATGCTGGGAGCTTTGTGGATGGACTGGCAAGTTTCTGAGCCCCTCACCTGTGCTTTCTTTCCTTCCAGTTGTCGATTTCCCAGCTGGCGGCCTCCCCGCGGTCCCCGACTCAGCACTGCGTGGCCAGGCCTACTTCACAGCTGCCCCATGGCTCTCCGGCCTCCCCGACTCAGGCAGTAAGTGCCGCCCACCTCCCGCCTCGCCTTCCACCAAGGAGTGGCTCCACAGCTCCTCACTTCGGGTTTGTGCTGTGCTGGTCCTCAGTTAGGTGGCAGAGACCTTGCGGGTTCCCTGGGATGTGGGTTGGGCGGGGGTTATTGCTTACTCTGAGGCCTCAGACAGTTGCCACCATTCTGTCTTGGAGACCAAAGAAGAATGTGGCCCGTGAGTTCTTCATGCCACGGCACTTGATTCAGATTGTGATCTACCCGCGAAAACAAAGCTGAGCTGTCCCTAGGTCTGTACATGAAAGTAAAAGGAAGGTGTGGCTGGATCTGTAGACAGAGGCTGAGACAGGCACCCAGTACCCCGGGACCCTCCTTGCTGTCAGCAGCTAAAGGAGGTGAGTGGAGCCCCCCCATCCTGTTTTCAGGGTGCGCTCCTGCCCATGTTGCCACCAGCCCTGGGGAATTCCTGTGGAGTTTGGTTTCCAAAGTCAGCTGGTTCACCCGCAAACCGCATCTCTGGTCTTAACTGGAGTTACGTTGAGGAAAAATAGTTTCTTTTAATTCCTTGTTTGAAAACACTCCTAGCACCATGAGTCTCTGCTGCCTTATCTCTAGCATCTCTGGGGCTCGTGTGTTTGTGAAGAGCTTGCCTAGCTTTTTATTACTGGTGCCTGAGACATGGTGTGAGGGTGATCTGGTTTCCTCTGGCCTGGAACAGAAAGCCTGGGAATGAAGCTTGAGAGAGCACATTCCCAACTCCCAAGCCAGCTCCTCGCTGAGAGGCCTGCCTCGGCCTTGGAGGGGAGTAGAGGTGGAATACGAGTGAATGACAGGAAGGTTCAGGGGCTGTGAGGACAAAAGACTGTCCAAACACACCAGCCAGGGGCTCGGTGCCACGGTTTATCTTGGAGTGTTGAGGAAGCTTCATCTTTCTATTCTATAAACATATTTTGATGTGAATTTCCCATCTCAGGTGTCAGATGTCTCCCACGGTCCTGACCTGCTCATAAAATTAGGATTCCTTCCTCACTGCTTCTCAACTCACAAATTGGGTTGCTACATGAAATATAGGATGCCCAGTTAAATTTGGACTTCAGGTAAACAACAAATAATTTTTTGGTATAAGTATGTCCCAAATATTGCAGGGAACATACTTATACTAAAATTATTTGTTGTTTACCTGAAATTCAAGTGTAATTGAACCTTCTGTATTTTTATTTGCTAGAGCTGGCAACCCTCCAGAGGCAATTCATCGATGAATCCCCTTAGATCTGGGCACCGTTGGTTGTTAGGAGTTGGGGTCCTTGGTGGCCTCACTCGAAAGCCCTCGTTTTGTTCAGCAGGAGTTCCCGTTGGAGGGCGGTATCTCCCACCTGGAAGCTGACCTGAGCCAGACCTGCCTGGTCCCGGAAACCTCCATCGCCGAACAGTTACAGGAGCTGCCGTTCACGCCTTTGCATGCACCTATTGTTGCGGGAACACAGACCAGGAGGTGAGGTGGTGTTGTTGCGGGAAGACAGACCCGGAGGTGAGGTGGTGTTGTTGCGGGAAGACAGACCAGGAGGTGAGGTGGTGGTGGTGCGGGAACACAGACCCGGAGGTGAGGTGGTGTTGTTGCGGGAACACAGACCAGGAGGTGAGGTGTTGTTGTGGGAACACAGACCAGGAGGTGAGGTGTTGTTGCGGGAACACAGACCCGGAGATGAGGTGTTGTTGTTGCGGGAACACAGACCCGGAGGTGAGGTGTTGTTGCGGGAACACAGACCCGGAGGTGAGGTGGTGGTGTTGTTGCGGGAACACAGACCCGGAGGTGAGGTGGTGTTGTTGTTGCGGGAACACAGACCCGGAGGTGAGGTGGTGGTGTTGCGGGAACACAGACCCGGAGGTGAGGTGTTGTTGTTGCGGGAAGACAGACCCGGAGGTGAGGTGTTGTTGTTGCGGGAACACAGACCCGGAGGTGAGGTGTTGTTGTTGCGGGAACACAGACCCGGAGGTGAGGTGGTGTTGTTGCGGGAACACAGACCCGGAGGTGAGGTGGTGTTGTTGCGGGAAGACAGACCCGGAGGTGAGGTGGTGTTGTGGGAACACAGACCCGGAGGTGAGGTGGTGGTGTTGCGGGAAGACAGACCCGGAGGTGTGGTGGTGGTGTTGCGGGAAGACAGACCCGGAGGTGAGGTGGTGGTGTTGCGGGAACACAGACCCGGAGGTGAGGTGTTGTTGTTGCGGGAAGACAGACCCGGAGGTGAGGTGGTGGTGGTGCGGGAACACAGACCAGGGAGGTGCGGAGGTGGTTGTTGTTGCGGGAACACAGACCCGGAGGTGAGGTGGTGGTGTTGCGGGAACACAGACCCGGAGGTGAGGTGGTGTTGTTGCGGGAACACAGACCAGGAGGTGAGGTGGTGTTGTTGCGGGAACACAGACCAGGAGGTGAGGTGGTGTTGTTGCGGGAACACAGACCAGGAGGTGAGGTGTGTTGTTGCGGAACACAGACCCGGAGGTGAGGTGTTGTTGTTGCGGGAAGACAGACCGGGGTGGGTGTGTGTTGCGGGAGACAGACCGGAGGTGGGGTGGTGTTGGGGAACAGACCGGAGGTGGGTGGTTGTTGCGGGAACACAGACCAGGAGGTGAGGTGGTGTGTTGCGGGAACACAGACCCGGAGGTGAGGTGGTGTGTTGCGGGAACACAGACCGGAGGTGGGGTTGGGCAGGGGTGGGTTGTTGCGGGAACACAGACCCGGAGTGAGGTGTTGTTGTTGCGGAAACAGACCGGAGGAGGGTGGGAACACAGACCCGGAGGTGAGGTGGTGGTTGTTGCGGGAAACAGACCCGGAGGTGAGGTGGTGTTGTTGCGGGAAGACAGACCGGGGAGGTGGGGGGAGGGGGGGTGGGGGGGGGGGGGGGGGGGGGGACAGGGGGGGGGGGGGGGGGGGGGGGGTGGTGGGGGGGAAGACCGGGGGGGGGTTGGGGACGGGGTGGGTGTTGGGGGAACACAGACCCGGAGGTGAGGTGGTGTTGTTGCGGGAGACAGACCGGAGGTGAGGTGTTGTTGCGGGAACACAGACCCGGAGGTGAGGTGGTGTTGTTGCGGGAACACAGACCCGGAGGTGAGGTGGTGTTGTTGCGGGAAGACAGACCCGGAGGTGAGGTGGTGTTGCGGGAACACAGACCCGGAGGTGAGGTGGTGGTGTTGCGGGAACACAGACCAGGAGGTGAGGTGTTGTTGTTGCGGGAACACAGACCCGGAGGTGAGGTGGTGGTGTTGCGGGAACACAGACCCGGAGGTGAGGTGGTGGTGTTGTTGCGGGAAGACAGACCCGGAGGTGAGGTGTTGTTGTTGCGGGAACACAGACCCGGAGGTGAGGTGTTGTTGTTGCGGGAACACAGACCCGGAGGTGAGGTGGTGTTGTTGCGGGAAGACAGACCCGGAGGTGAGGTGGTGTTGCGGGAACACAGACCCGGAGGTGAGGTGGTGGTGTTGCGGGAAGACAGACCCGGAGGTGAGGTGGTGGTGTTGCGGGAACACAGACCTGGAGGTGAGGTGTTGTTGTTGCGGGAAGACAGACCCGGAGGTGAGGTGGTGGTGGTGCGGGAACACAGACCTGGAGGTGAGGTGTTGTTGTTGCGGGAAGACAGACCCGGAGGTGAGGTGGTGGTGGTGCGGGAACACAGACCAGGAGGTGAGGTGTTGTTGTTGCGGGAACACAGACCCGGAGGTGAGGTGGTGTTGTTGCGGGAACACAGACCAGGAGGTGAGGTGGTGTTGTTGCGGGAACACAGACCAGGAGGTGAGGTGGTGTTGTTGCGGGAACACAGACCAGGAGGTGAGGTGGTGTTGTTGCGGGAACACAGACCCGGAGGTGAGGTGTTGTTGTTGCGGGAAGACAGACCCGGAGATGAGGTGTTGTTGTTGCGGGAAGACAGACCCGGAGGTGCGGTGGTGTTGTTGCGGGAAGACAGACCCGGAGGTGAGGTGGTGGTGTTGCGGGAACACAGACCCGGAGGTGAGGTGTGTTGTTGCGGGAAGACAGACCCGGAGGTGAGGTGTTGTTGTTGCGGGAACACAGACCAGGAGGTGAGGTGTTGTTGTTGCGGGAACACAGACCAGGAGGTGAGGTGTGGGTCTGGGTGGGATGGAGCCAGGCACGTGCTGTGTCGTCAGACTGTTGGACCTTGTGAACACCAGGCGTTCCACAGGGAGGTGCATCAAATGGGTCCCCCTTTCCCGGGAGGATGCCTGAGGAGTCTCTGTGTCTCAGCTCTGCAGGGCAGCCCTCGAGAGCCTCCATGGTGCTCCTGCAGTCCTCCGGCTTTCCCGAGATTCTGGATGCCAATAAACAGCCAGCTGAGGCCATCAACCCTACAGACCCCGTGACGTTTAACCCTCAGAAGGAGGAATCGGATTGTCTACAAAGCAACGAGATGGTGCTACAGTTTCTTGCCTTTAGCAGGTAAATGCTTGAATATTCTGTGTTACTCATCTGGCTTTCACATTTCCTGTGTTGAAGAGAAACTTTGCTGAGATTCTGACCTGGCAGAACTGTCTGTGCTCGGGTCTTAGTAGATTCGGGAGTGCCATCTGTTTTTATCTTATCTTGGCTAGGACCCACCCATGGCATGCTAAATGCTGTGAAAGCTGCTTTGCCCCATCTTTTGTGGTCCTTCATTAAAATGTGGATGGTGTGTTGTCCAGCTCTTAGATCTTAGTGTAGCTCCGAAGGCAGCTTCTCTAGCCGAGAGTGTCCTTATACTCGAGAGTGCTGCTGTCTGGCCGGCTTGCTGAGAGCACAGCAAAGCGGTTCCGTTGGTGACCGTGGCAGCCTCTTTACTGTTGTCCCAGCAACTAAGGTGCCTGGACCATCCCCTTATGCGAATGCACATCAGACCCCTCAGGTTCTGTGCCATGGATACTCGATTAACCCAGAGCTGTTGTTGGATTCAGAGTGGCCCAGGACTGCCGAGGAACATCATGGCCAAAGACTGTGTATTTCACCTTCCAGTTCTACCGCTTCCCACCCGCAACAACGCCACGACTGCAGCTGGTCCAGCTGGATGAGGCCGGCCAGCCCGGCTCCGGTGCCCTGACCCACATCCTCGTGCCTGTGAGCAGAGACGGCACCTTTGATGCCGGTGAGTACTCATGTGCGTGGCAGAGGTGAGACATTCTGTACTGAGTTGTGTGTGTAAATTGTCAATGTTATGAAAGTGGTACTAGGAAAAGTTTAAAACATATACAACATTAGAATAACACGGTGAACCAGTGCAGCAGACACTCAGCCCCAGCAGCTCTTAGCTACCTCCCAACCCAGCGTCCTCCCCCAAGCCAGGGTTGTTTTGAAGCAAATCCCAGACATTACAGGATTTCATGTATGAATATTTCCTTATGTATATCTAAAAAATTAAGAATTCTTATTGAAAAACATAATTGGTATTTCCCACCTAAAATAGTAACTCCTAATACCATCAAGTATCTAGCCAATGTTACAATTTTGCTAGTAACCTCATAACATTTTTTTCAGTTTGTCCAGAAATAAGGTCCACACTGGTCGTGGAGCAGTGTGACTCTTCAGTCTGTCTGCAGTTGCTGTCGCTGTGCCTGTCTCTGTTGTTTCTTCTTTATGTATTTGTTGAAGAAGCCACGTTGTACTGTAGAGCATCCACCTCACAGTCTGGATTTTGTTTTTGCATCCTGGTGGTAACATAAAGGTGTTGTTCTGTCCCCTCTTTACCTGTCAATTGGGAGTTAGATCCAGATGCGTGATTAGACACTTGGTTTTGTTTTTGGTTTTGGCAAGAATTCTTTGTAGCGGGTGATGTTTGTGCCACCCCCTTCACCTCTGCTGCGCCCTTGGCGAATGCTTACTTCTTTTTATGTTGCACCAGCAGCCATTATGCCCACTGCTGTGTCATTTGTGCAGTGGTGACGTTCTGTTTCTAGAACACCTCCCTTGTTCGTTAGCTGGGATGCTTCCAAAATAAGAAACTTCCCGACATCAACTTTTTGCTTACATTGAGATGCGGTTTGTATAGGAAAGGCTGGATAATACTTGATTCTTCCCTTTATTTGCCAGTTTCTGAAGTAATTACATGATTCCCTGGCATCCTTCAAGGATGGGGACCAATGACTTTTTTTTTCTTCAGGTATCATTGTAAACTAATAAATTAAAGCTACATTGAATAGAAGCACACCTGACATGTTGGTATTTTTATTGATGGTCAGTTTCCCCATCTTGGTTAGTGACACAACTCATAAGGGACCCAGCTGGGGTCTCAAACACTGCTGCCTCTCGAGGTAGAAAGTGGCAGGTGGGAAAAGTGATGTTGAAGTACTGACCTCAAATGGAAGTAGCCTAACAATGGCGCCTGACAATAGAGACACAAAACAAATGCAGCGCTAGGGATCGAGGAGGCTGTTAAACAATAACCAAGAAAGTAATTCACTAGGAAAAGAAACAGTTCTGAATCCGCGAACTTCTAACATACGTAACCTCAAGATAGAAAGGAGAACTTGATGGACTTATAAGGAGAAATCGGCAAAACCCCACAATCATGGGAGATCTAGACATACTTCTCAGTAGATTGATGATCAAACAGAAATAAATTAATAAGGATATTATAAAATACAGTTTAAAAAGGTGATCTGAGAAAACCTGTATACCCCATTTAGAGAATATGCATTATTTTAAAGCATACTTTGAAACTTAGAAAAACGGATCATCATTCATATATTTATTTTTAGCTCACCAAGTAGGCATCCCCTATACTGAGAGAATTGGTATAAAATCTAATTTTATAACTTTCTCTGGTCATAATTCCACAAGATCAGAAGTCAGTCACTCCCTCCCCTACAACCACTCTGAACTGCTTTTTTTTTTTTTAATTTTAAAACATGCTTCTAATTATTCCATGGGTCAATGAAGACCTCAAATAGAAATGCCTAATTATTTAAAACTGAATGACAAAATAATATTGCATATCAAAACTTAGGAGATGCAAGTAAAATTGTAAATACAGGGGAATTTACAGTTTTAAATGCCTGTGTTGGTGAAGAAGAAAAGTACACTTTCAGATATTGTTTTAATTGTTCAACTTAAGAAGTTTGGGGGGAGAAAAGACAGAACAAACCCAATAAAAGTAGAAGGAAAAAAATTTGATGAGTGTAAATGCTCAGAAGACAAAACAATAGAACAGGTCAGCCAAACAGTTGGGCACCAGGGTCACCAGGTACAACAGGGCATGCTTCTTGTTTCTTGTCCATGGGCACAGTCAATCAAGAGAGGCAGATGGCGGAGATGAAAATATCACTATCTTGATCATGCATCTATTCATGATAAAGAGGGTGTAGGACTTGGTTGGTCTGAGAGCCAGCTGTGCCCACTGGTGCCAGCCCCCAATGTGGATAGCCTTTGATGCAGGTGGAAGTTGGCCAGACAGCAGCGGGCTTTGCACCTGGGGTGAGCCCTCGCCTCTCTGCATGCCTGGAAGCACATCTCGGACTGTGGGCAGATCTGAAAAGAGGAGAGTGGGGAGGAGGAGTGAGCAGCCTAGTTAGTTAGCTCAGTTAGTCTGTTCCCCATCCCCAGTCAGTTGAGCTGCTCTCGCCCTGAGAGGCATGGGGGCTGGGCAGAGAGAGGCCACAGGAGGCTCCTTTGCATGGAGGTGTGAAGCCAGGGAAGGGCATGCTCCTACAACATTTCCGTGCTCCTACAACATTTCCGGGGTTTGGTTTTCTCAACTCATTGGCCTTCATCATTACTAAACCAGGGGTATGGCCTTTGTCTTTGCGGGGAGGGGACTGGTCACCACCAGGGCGGTTCCAACCTTCCTGAATCACTTCAACTAAGCCAACCACCTTTCCTTTTTCAATTCTCCGGAGGCCTTCGGTAGGCAGTCCAACTGATGTCCCCAGAAGGCTGTAAAATGGATTGGATTAATGCATTGCTCTCAAGGCTCCTCTGTACCCACTGCTGAAGACTCATTCCCTACTCTGTTTCCCATTCCAAATTCCATCCAGTCATTTCATCCAGCACAGCTCATCAGAGGCTCTGCAGTGAAGTTAAATGATAGCATTGAGATCGTTCAATAAAAAAGGCCAACCACTTAGAGATGCTCCTGACTTGAATATAAACCCCTTTCCATGATGAATTTCCCAGAGAGGAATTAAAGTCCCCAAATTAAATTTCCTTGCAGGTTGAAGTCCAAAGAAATGAAACTCCAAAATCAAATTTTCTTGTCATTATGAATTAAAATTCAAAGTCCAAAATTCTTAAGTTGAAGTCCAAAAAAACCCCACCCGACTGATTTCCATTTCTTACGTAGCTGAGTCTCTGCCTGGGCAGGTCTGGGCTTCCTTCAGCAGCCGCAGCTTGCGGGAGGGTTCTCCCTGGACAGGCACGGTTCCCTAGGGCCTTGGGAGTTGCATCAGTTCAGGACTGAGCCTCTCAAAAGCCTCACTTAAAAGATATTTGTTGTTGTTGTTGTTGAACTATATAACATGCATATGGTAAAGAGCACAGATTGCCAGTGCATGGTTCTATTATTTTAAAAAATTAATAATTTTATGTTTTTAGATCGGTTTTAGGTTTACAGAAAAATTGAGTAGCTGGTACAGAGAGTTCCCATAGGACCTCCCCCTCCAAGAGTTTCCCCTATTATTAATATTTTGCGTTGGTGTGACACGTTCTGTTTTCAGGGTTTTTTTTTCTTTTTTTTTGAGACGGGATCTTACTCTGTCACCCAGGCCGGAGTCCAGTGGCACAATCATGGCTCACTGCAACCCCTACCTCCTGGGCTCAAACAGTCCTCCCACCTCAGCCCCCACGTAGCTGGGACCACAGGCATGCACCACCGTGCCCAACTAATGCTTTTTTGTAGTTTTTATAGAGATGGGGTTTTGCCATGTTGGCCAGGCTGGTGTTGAACTCCTTGGCTCGAGTGATCCTCCTGCCTCAGCCTCCCAAAGTGCTGAGATGTCAGATGTGAGCCACCATACCTGCTGTGTGACACATTTGTTACAATTGATGAACCAGTATTAAAAAGTATTATGAACTAAACTCATAGTTTATGCTAAAGTTCATTCTGCATTATACAGTCTGTGATTTTTGACAAATACATGACATCGTGGATCCACCATGATGGATCATACGGAATAGCTTCATCGCCCTCCACCCCCCTGCGCTCCACCTATTCAGCCCTCCCCTCCTCTCCGGGCACTGCTGTTCTTTTGATTGTTTCCATGTTGCCTCTTCCAGAACGTCATACAACTGGTATCATAGTTCGCAGCTTTTCAAAACTGGTTTCTTCCAGCACTGTGCATTTAAAGTTCCTCCATGGCTTTTTATGTCTCGCTCAGTCATTTCTTGGATTGCTGAATGACACTTCATTGCACGTACGTGCCACAGCCTATTTTTCCATTCACCTCTTGAAGGGCATCTTGGTAGTTTACAGTTTTTGGCAATTTTGAATAAAGCTGTTAGAAACATTTGTGTACGGGGTTTTGTGTGTACATAATGTTTCAACTCACAGGTAAATACCAAGGAGTGTGGTTGCTGGATCATGTGGTAAGAGTATGTTTAGTTTTGTTAGGAATCACCATACTGTCTTCCAAAGTGGCTGGGCCTTTTTGCGTTCCCACCAGCAGTGAATGAGGGTTCTGGTTGCTCCGTATCCTCACCAGCATTTGGTCTTGTCAGTGGTTGTGATTTTAGCCGCTCTAGCAGGCCGTACAGTGGTGTCTTGTTGTTGTAATTTGCAGTTCTCTAGTGACATATGATGTGGAGCATCTTCTCATGCTTATTTGCCTTCTGTACATCTTCCTTCATGAGATTTCTGCTCAGATACCTGAACGGATGTCTGTATACATTTTGGATGCAAGTCCATTATCAGATACGTATTCTGCAAATGTTTTTTCCCGATCTATGGCTTGTCTTTTTATTCTCTTACCAGTATGTTTGGCAGAGTGAAGTTTTTCATTTTAATGAAGTCCAGCTCATTAGTTATTTCTCTTATGGATTGTGCATCGGTTGTATCTGAAAAGCCATCTCTGAGGTCACCTAGATTTTGTTCTGTGTTATCTCCTAGGAGTTGTATAGTTTTGTGGTTCACATTTAGGTCTGTGATCCATTTTGAGC